TTAGCCTTTTAATTTGCATCTGAGTTTTTTAAATAAAATTAGTCAATTTGTAATTATGTGACCTGGCCCATAATTAGTTTATTCATCACTGCAGTTAACTCCCCATTAGGAGTATCAGAAAGAGAGAGACAGAAAAAGAGAGACTGAGGGAAAGAGACTTATTTATCTATTCAGAATGAGAACACTCGCAACATCAATTTGTCTCTCATTTAATAACCAGCTTCATGGTGAATCATGTGCTGTTTGAGAAAGATCTTTGGACCTGTGATTGGATAATTAACTCAAGGCTGGTGGGATCTGATCAAACAGCTGCATGCTAGATGTCTGCAGTGTTCACGCACTCGGTTGTATGCTCTGTATATTTCGTGTAACTTTCACTCATACAGGCTGCAGGTTGTGGATTGAAGCCATTCATTTAACATTTCTCTGCTTTATCTATCAGACAAGCTGCAAAGCAACTGATGAGGAGTTTAAACTAACTTTTGAAGTGTTTGAAGAAAAAGAACGTGCATTTCTGTCAGCCGGGTTTAAATAATAAGGCTTCCTGTAATTAAGATTTAATGCATTTAATGTTTTTGTTGTGTTTAGTGATGAGTGATTGTTTTTGTTGAGTGTGTTTAGTGCTGCAACTAATGATTACTTTCATTGTCGATTAATATGGTGATTTATTTTCTCTGTTTCTTTTTATTCTTTTGGTCTTTAACACGTCAATAAATAGTGATTTTCAACAAGTTTTCAAGTCCAACTTAATGTCATCAAATTGCTAGTTTTAGACCTGAAGATATATTAATTAACAAATAAGATAAAGGAAAGCAGCAAATCCTCACCAGTGAGATTTATTGACATGTTATTATTGACATGATTATTGGCATTATTGACTGAAAAATGACTTGAACACTGGACTGTGAAAATAGTTGCCAAGCAGTTATGAAGTTGACTGACATTTTATCATTATTATAATATACATCATTTTATTGGCTTAATATTAGTGACATCCTATTTTATTTACCATTCACTGGTTTAATCTATAACAATACATCATATTTTGTTTGTGAAAAAACTTTAAAAGTAATCTGTAAATATAGCTGTCAGATACTGTAAAAAGTGCAATGATCCCTTTGGAAGTATAAGAAATAGAAGTTTAAAGTAACATCAAATGGACCTAATTAAGTAAAGTACCTGTGCCTCAAAAGTTTCCTTATGGGTAAATGTAGTTACTGCTAATTTGTATCTGGTAGAATATTATTCTTTAATGTTATCTGAATCTATCCATCAATAATCTTTTTATCTAAAAAATTAGCAAATTTCATTAAAATCGTTATAATTCAATACAAGAAAATTAGTTTAGATGGAAATTAATTAATTTAATGTTGTGATAACATTGAAACATGTGAAATTGAAGTGAAACATTTACCCTTTGATGACTGGTAAATCTTTAATAATGTTGAATTCTGCAACCGTTGTGCTAAATCGAGTCTCTCTGTTCTGCAGTGCAAGTGGTCCAGAAAGGGATTCATCAGAACTCGATGGGCCCTGCCTGACTGGTGAGTTTCATCAATAAGTCCCTACAATGACCCACGTCGTCTGTGCTCCGCCCTGAATCATTACACCTGTATCACTGTGATTAGAGATGAGGATCTAACCATGTCAGTCATGTCTGGCTTTACCCATAATGCAGTGGGCCGTGCCGCGGTGCGGTTATCATAGACCGCACGGACACAGAGAGTGACTTACATAGCTGAACCCTCTGTGGACAGTGTGCCACGGAAGCGAGCACGGATTTGATTAGACGTAATCACGTTAGTCAAGCAGTTGCATATGACAGATGACAAAAAACATTACAAGCAATTGAACCTGTACGGGATGAATACAAACTCTGGCTTCCAGTGCACAAAGCAAAAATTTGCTGGCGGGGAAACGGCCCAGCGGACTTGAAGGGTGCGTGAGACCGGGGGTTTGTATTTTCTTTAATTTTGAGGAATGACATGAAAACTAAAGAGCTGGAAACGGTTAAGCCTTTAATTAGGGGCAAATGCTTTTTTGCAGAAGCGCAGGGAAGGGAGAGGGCGGGTTGAGATTAGAGAAATTGGTGAATCAGGGATGGAATTAGCGGGTTGCCAACGCCGTGCATGTGTTTTCATTTGTTTCAGGATGTCCCACTGCGGGAATAACCCCTTGGGAGTGAAAGAACCAATTTTTTTTCCGTCCTGGGTCGCCTGACCTGACACCATTTGCCTACAAGCGCCCCAGACTTGAATTTTTTTTTTTTTTAATCGCCGACGGTTGGTTCATTTCACTGTTAAATTTGGCTTATTCTTGCTTATTCCCTGAACAGCGGCAAACTAAGGGAAAGCCCGGTTGTTGTTTCTAAATTTGTTGAGATATTGGCGCCCCCGCTGGATAAAATTGTTGTTTACAGGACGGATGGTTTTTTTTTTTTTTACAGCAAAGGAGAAAATCTTTAAGTGTTCAAAAGTTTTTTTTCGCTCTTTGTTTACCCGTCTATCATTTAATTCAGTGCTCATCTGATGCGTCGATTCACATTATCATTATCACTTCACTTTTTTATAGGTTGGAACCAAACGGCAAGTAATTAATTTCAGAGTGAATCTTTTTGTGAAGCCGAGGTCAAACCCAATAATCATCCCCGTGGCTTTGTTTTAATGCTCAGTAAAAAGATGAAGTCTTTATGCGCACGTGTTTCTGGCCTGAAGTCACTTCAGACTCTGTGCTCTTTTTCTCGGTGCCTTTGGATTCTTGGTTCAACAATCACCCTTGTTCCCCCGATGGCCTTTTTTTCTCACCTTTGGGTGCCTGGAGCCCCTCTGTCTCTCCTGGGCCAGGCGAGGTCCTTTTGGCTAGTCTTTTTAGAAGTCTGTCACGCTGGGGCCGCCCACCTATTGTTCTCTCCTTCATCTGTCGTTCTTGTGAAAAAGAACGGAGCCCCCTTTTAGTGCAAAAAATCGTTTTATTTTTCAGTGGGAGATTATGAACAACCAATGTGCCTACAATGCTAACATATGACTTTATGTTTTGGTTCAGACTTTGCATCCATGTTGTAGCAGTGGTGTGGGATGTCTGTAGTTTCATGTTTTATTCAAAAGAAGTAGCTGGTTGACTCAGGGATTAAACGCTGAGAAACATGGTGTTTTAAAAGGGAATGGAATTTTTTTTAAACTTCATATGATGTATTTGAAGGAGCATTAAAATGACAAAATATAAAAAATGTTCCAGACTGGGAATTGAATATTAGTAGATACTATCTACAATTCCCAGTCCTGTCTGGCATGGCAAAACCTGTATTGATATTGTAATGGAGGCTTAGAGTGAGAGGCGTTTTTGCAAGGGAGAGGTCAAGCGGGGAGATTTTTTTGGTTTGGGTTCGTCCTAGACCAGGTTTGAGCGATGGAGGGTGAACTTCTTTTCTTGGTTCAAGGTTGGAAGTCTACTAACACCGGGTTCTTGTACCCCTTTCCCAATCTCTTTGTTTTCTTTTTCTGTCCTCTCTCTAACTCCTCCTTACTTTTCAGCATTTACTGTTTTTTTATTTTTCTTTTTCTGTGGCGTAATCCTACATTCATCTTCGTTTTTGTCCCGCTGCTGGCAGGAAAAAGGAGGCAAGCATTCGTCCATTGACTGTTTGTGCTGCCATGTGTTTGTGTGTCTGTCAGATATTAGGTCATCTAATAGGGCTGCACGATATGGTACAAAAATAATATTAAGATTATTATTATTATTATTATTTTAAATCTCATTTTCACCATAATATATATATTTGAATTAATTGTACATCGTCCAGTACAAAATACCAGGCGGATTGCTGTGATATCAAAAGTCCCAGCCCCCACAGGATGAGTGTGATGATCCTGACCTTTTGTCTAGTGCCACCATCAGATCTAAATTCTAAAAAATCACTTCTTATAGGACGGAAATGTAATTTACAGTGGATAATATTGGTCCCTAAAGGATAAATCCTAATTTGATTGCCATGACATTTACTGAGCACATTCATGCTCCCCAGAGGAGGAACCCTTTCCATTTTGGACACTCCATGAGCTCAGCCCACAGGTCTATTTGTCAATTTCTATACTCGACGTATTATAATCTAATAGGCCATTCCATTTGCACATTCATGCTCCCACGAGGTTCAACCCGTAAAATAAATGTAGCGTTTTTAATTATGCTGACGAGGCTCTAGGAATCTTAATAGTAATAGATTTCTTCAATCTGCACTGAGTAAAGCCAGCCTCTATACAAACAGGCCAGGCTATACATTCACAGGCCACGCTAATGTGATTTATGGAATATCCATTTGCAGTGGAGCAGAACGAGAGAGTGCACGGTGCAACCCCTGCTCCCTACCTGGCCATGCTTACACAGTATAAAAGCCTACTAGCAGCCTCGCAGCAGGTGACCTCCCATTCTGATGGCATCAGAATGCACGACGTGGCTCCCCGTCGCCTCCACTTTGAATAACTACATGCATATACGAGTGGCATACATTATCACCAGGCTCTCTGATGTGCATGAATTATGAGGCACTTTTTAAAGTATTCTCTACGAGGTCATATTTTATCTGTGCTTCATTCTTGATTTGATGAAAGAATGGTCTGCCTTTAATGGACAGGCAAGTTGGAGCGTTTTAAGAATATGGCAGAATTTTTATGACGTTGTAACTTACCTGGATTTACTGGCATAATGAAGTTTCAAAAGGGCTTCTGTTGTTGCTTACATTTAAGTGTTTTCATTGTATTTCCTCTGCTTTCATCATGCTTTCTCAGTTGATTTATTTCTAAAGGTTCCCTTGTAAATATACCTAAATAGCGGAGTCCCTAAGGTTTAGCTGGGTGGCTGAGGGGATTGAATAGAAGTTGTTTTGGCTGAGTGGCAGTTTCCACGCTCCCTCTTTCTAAATCCCCTTGTGTTGTGAATGCTAACCCTGTTGTTACTTCTGGGCCATATCATTTAAAGGTTCTTTTTTTTTTGACAGGGGTGGGGATGAGGGGTAAGTGGTGTGAGGCAAGGTGGCGGTGGGGAGGTCGTTATGTCCTGACTACCCCTCGTATTGCTTGCTAGGGGTACAGGGGTGGGATAGTGGTGGCATCGCGCCTCAGTCGCTCACTTTGGGGGAAACCGCCGGGCGCAGATCCGGAGCACCGGAGTGAGAAAAAGCTGGCTGTGCAGAGGGAAGGGAGGAGGAGCACAAAGGGTGCTTGGGCTCTGTAAAGGGCAGTGAATAATGGGTTGGTCCTTTCACAGAGGCTGCTAACCTTTTGGCAGCCACCAGCAAACTCCATTCTCCTCCGCCGATCTGGGAGGACAATGTGCCCGGGCCGGGCTTTGAATGAAGCGCTACCACCAACAGTGTTCCCATTCAGCGGCTGGTTGGGAACCATCTTTTTGGCCATTGTCCTAACTCTGACTCCTACCCCCAGAAAGCAGAGCAGGAAAAGGGACGGGGAATATCTAAAGCCAAGCTCCCCCTCCTTCCCTCTCCTCTCTCCCTCTCTGAGCTCTAATCTCTCATTGCGGGATGGGAGAGGAGAGGAGAGGAGAGGAGAGGAGAGGAGAGGAGGGGGGCAAGGCTGCTAGGCTGCTGAACACAACACCAGCTGAGGCAACCGGCACAGGAGCCTGATCACACAGCACTGCTGGGGGACAGAGTTCTGCTGCCGGGCATCAAACTTCAGCCTCCACCTTATCTGGGGCCCAGGCCTCATAATGCAGCTTACGGCCCATTGAGAAGACATCTGATAAGCCTTTTCCTCTGTGGCCCTTTTAACTGCTAAACGGTGTTTATCTCCAAAGTGCTTCAAGGCCTCGGGGGAACAATGCTGAGAAGGAACAGCGTTTAGCCAGCCAGACCTCACTATTGAGTCACATCAAAAAAGCACTGCTCTGTAGCCTGCGTTGATGTGTGGGCCACTTCCATGAGAGCAAAGCAAAGGCTCTGCTTGAAATGCATCCCCTGCTTGTTTTCCTGTCCTTTGAAAATGCACACATGTGCTCAGGGCTGCATCAAGCATTATTTACCTTGTTGACTCAACCACGCCTTGATGTGGACAATCATTGTTTTCTAATTATGTCGAGGTTTAATCGTCTTTTTGTGCACGCAATGTAAAAAAAAATGTTTTTAAGAATAATTTAATTAGACAAATTAAATTAAAGGAACAGCTGCTATGGGACACGATGGTACAATGTTGTATGTAGAGAAAAGGTCTGCTTGTTTGCTTATTTCTGCACGACACAGCTGATGTAGTGAAAGCGATGCAGAAAGCCCTGGCCTCTCTAGAGGATGGAAAACATGGCTGCTAAATGAGCCCATGAAATGATAGCATGAGATAAAATCAACAGGTTTTTTTTTTTCCTCATCCTTAAAAAAATCCCTTTTGTGTATGGGAGTTTGTTTCTTTTTTCCAACCCCCATTCAGAGTGGCTGGTCCGGTTCAGGGGAGAACAGTTTTACATTACAACTGTGAAATCCAGCATAAAGGCGTCCTTTGTGGCGCGCCATTATTTTCACACAAATATAGTCCATTGTCAC